GTGTAAATTACATCTAACTGAACATATATTTTTTGCTACAAACCTCTATTGTATAAAAATATACTTACAAAATATATTACCACTGAGGATAAAAGGATGTAGACAATTAGAGGATCTACGTGTTGTGGGTCCAATATAAAGTATCTTAATATGTGGATGATCGAAACGAAATGAGTAAATACGAACAGATATACTTGTAATCCAAATACAGCGTTGATTTCTCTCACCAGTATATGGATTTTCTTACAAGTCTTCAGAATATTACTAGCGTTTAAAACATCGTTTCTTTTATCGATATCGTTCACTCTTAGTATATTATTCAGGTGAGAATATCTTTTCTCCAATATCTTAGCTAGTAAAAGAAGAAGGCTTATAGTAATAGCCGCATAGACATGAGAAATTGTCCATCCTACATAGGAAAGAATTTTGTGACCTGTTCCTACCCATACCAGAGCAAGGAAGTGGAAAATATGGAATATTACGAAAACTACGATGAAACCAAAAGCTTCAGTGTAAAGGCAAAATAAGTTCTTTGTCATTTGGAAACCAAAATTATTCATCATCACCTCGACCTCATCCAACGTGTCGAAGAATCGTTTCCAGTTCCTGAACTGAGTCAAATTAGATTTTACAGCTGTTGTAATCGAGAACAATATATTGGATGTATTCCATACAATTTTCAGGGCAACAAATAAAGCGTCTTTCCCGGAAATTTGTTCCAAATCGAATTGTATTTGAGATTGCCAAACAGCCGACTCGAAAATGAAGTAAAAGATCACGATCACGCACACGAAGATTTTCGCTGATGTATGTTCAACGCTGTTTATTTTCATACTAAATGGAGTTACGCCAGTCCATCTGGTACACTTCAGCAGAGTCCTCAAAACCTTCATGTCATTTTGAGTGGGAGCAAAGAAGTTGTTTACGTTAGATTTGATTTTTGTTGGTACGTCTTCCATTTTTATCTTTTTACTGCTCGAAGCGTTCTTCGAAATTGCCTTTAAGAACAAGAGAAATGTATTTGGTGGTAATGAAGGATGAAGGATTATTTTTGTGGGTACTGGGAAGGTTTGCTTCACTTTATACCATAAATGTGTTTATAGTTTTCTCTCTCGTTTTCGAAACCAAAGGGTTTTAACAATTACTTTAACCACCACAGTTGCAACATTTCTATCAAGTCTATGCAATGTTTTGGACATTATCTGTTAAGCTGTCAATTGTTTTCTACTAATGATAATATGATTATTCACTCAAAAAAGAAATGTCGTTAATACATGGAATTATCTACGTAATTGTGAAGGTAATTCATTAAATATTTGTCGAGGTAGTTAGCATAGTAATAAAATTTGATGATTGCGACTGACTTATATGTTAATAGTCCAAGTTTCCCAAATTTCGATAATATACAGTTATAAAGGGTGTTAAGTTTACAAAAGTAAATTGAATTATGCGTCATTTTCATTCAGAAAAGTTGGCAACATTGTTCAGGAGAGTGTGTAGCTGAGAGTATGCGCGAATTATATGAAATTTTCGATAGAAGAAATGCCCCTATTGAAACACCTGTGAAAATATGACGTGGCAATCAGCCCAGATATTATCCAACTTCCGGGAGTCCCAAAATGTACGCAAGATTTGAATTTTGTACCATTTGTGCGAAAAAAAGGCAACGTAATAGCCGACAGTTCAGGGTTATTAAAAATGAAGCGTTACACAAAAGAACAACGTTGGCAGCATTGTGCAGGAGAGTATGTAGCTGAGACTGTGCGCAAATTACGTGGAATTTTCGGTAGCAGAAATACCCCGAATGAAGCAACTGTGAAAAGATTAGTTTTCAAATCTGAACAAACACGTTCGGTTGCAGACAATAAAAATCAGATCGAAGATAGCACCACTTACATATCGCTTCTGTAGTCTTGACTACAGTTGATAGGATCCCCTTAGATGCTCCAGAAAAGAGTGATCGCCAGGAGAACAGACCTTAGCCAGCGGCGACGGGTCTTAGCTGGCGGGTCTCAGCCAGGACAGGAAGCCCCCGCGAAGTGAATTAATTTCAACACTGTATATTCTAATTAATCATTTGTGAGTGATTTATTTTTGCACTCAATGTTTAGTTAATTAAAAACCAAGTCTGAGTAAAAAATGACTCTATAATAGTCAACTCTAAATTGGTTTGGTACTCAGAATAGAGTCAAAAGTCGCTCAATCGGATGTGGACAGAAATTGATACATTATTGAGTAAATTTGAGTGTCATTTGAGTGAAATTTTTTTACAGTGCAATTAAACATTTCATAAAGCACAATGCAACGAAATTTGTAGAAACAATAATAAATGAGAACACTTACAAGATACATTAGAACAAATATCAGTGTCAGGTTGACAAGTGCCGGGTCAGCATCTTGTGGATTGCCTACGAAGTAACTCAAAAGGCTGACGCTGAATATAAAGGTAACCATGACATTCAAAAACAGTTGCAGTCCGAATACTATATTGATTTCCCTCACCAATAGTTGAAGTTTCTCGCAAGCTCTCAAAATGTTTTTGACGTCGTCTCTTTTAAGAGCACCATTCGTTCTTAGTATTCCATCGAGGTGATTGTATCTCTTCCCCAGTATTTTCGCCAGCAAGTGAAGGAAACTTATGGTAAAAGCCATGTGGAAGTGCGAGACGCTCCAGCTGAGGTAGGACATAATTTTATGGCCTCTTCCCGCAAGGACCAAAGCCACGAAGTGATAGAGATGACATAGTACTGAGATAGAGACATACGCGAAAGCTGCGCTACAAGTGAGGTAGTAGTTCTTTGCCATCTCGAAATCAAACTTTATCATCATCAGTTCTACCTCGTCTAACGTTACAAAAAACCTTTTCCAGTTGTTCAGTTGAAAGAAACTGGACTTCGCGAAAGATGTAATTAAGAATATGGAATTCGAAACGACCCATATGATTTTCATGGGGATGAAAATTTCGTCTGTGCCAGTAAGTTGTTGCAGATCGTATTGAATTTGCAATTTGTAAGTGAAACACTCGTAAACGATGTAAAGTAACACGAGAGTAAATGTGAGGCATTTTCCGAAAATGCGACCAAAACTGTTTGATTTTAAAGTGAATGGAGTGATTCCCATCCATCTAGCCCATTTGATTAAGACCTTCAAAACTTTCAAGTCGTTTTGTGGCTTGTCGCAGAAATTATTTCTTCTTGATTTAAATTTGACAGAAATTTGTCTAGATTTAAAACTCACTGTTTCACTAGTCATTTTAACCACTTAAGCTTCTATGAAATGTTTGTTGTGAATTATTTTTATTTATATGAGAAAGTTGTTCAGCAATAATGTCCTAATAATAAAGGCATATATGAAAAAGTAATGTGTTAAGTCTATACCATATTTTTATTACTAGATACTGAGTAGTTGAGCTTTAATTTTACATCAGCTAGTTATATTTTCCATTAAAGTACTAGATTAATTTATTAATTATAATTTTTTTATTTACATAAAAGCATAAACATTTAAAGGAATATATGTATTTTGCAGTCATGATTTGCTAAAAAGTTATATCTACTCTCCTGTAAAAGACACTCCCTGTAAGTTTGAGGCCACTTTTCTGCTGGTAAAACTACTGTTCTAAAAAAAGTTAGGAGCAATTTAATGAATAAAATTGCTACCTATTCATTATATATTTATGGATGCAGTTAAAAAGATATAAACCCTGATTAGTGTAATAGGTTCAAGCATGATAAAGTTTTATAAAGTTATAATAGAACTTTGAAGCTCTGTAGAATATAAAATTACTATATACTTTGTTCAGAACTGGCATTGGCACACTTTGATCAATATATTTTTTATTATTAGCGATAGATCTATCAAACTTTGTATCATTGTAATCCCGAAGATGCAATGTGTTCTATTCAAAGAAAACAGATTTTCACAAATGAGTAAAATGATCAAAATGCCCAATATTGAGTGAAAATGTACTCAATAATTTCACCTTTATTGCTCCCTAAGTAAAGTTCTATTGCCATGAAGACAAAGGAAAGGAACACGCATAAGAATATCTGCATCCCAAAAATCGCGTTGATTTCTTCCGTTAGCAAGTAGAGTTTCTTACAAATCTTCAGAACTTTCTTCACGTTTAGTACACCATTCCTTCCGAGATCGTTCGCGATTAATACGTCATTGACGTGATCGTATCTCCTCGTCAGTATCTTCGGCAGCAAGTGAAGGAGGCTCATGATCGAAGTCTTATAGAAATGAGCCACGTTCCATCCCAGGTAAGAAGCAATTTTATGTGTCCTGTTTGTCAGTACCAAAGCAACGATGCGGAGAATATGACATATTAAGGAAATAGGAATGTAAGCAAAAGCTTCTGCACAGATAAGAAAGATATTTCGAGTCATTTGGAAACCAATCTGCTACATCACTACTTCTATTTCACCCAAAAGCACAAACAACTTTTCCCAGTGCCTGAGTCCGAACAAATTGGGTTGTCCAATTGTTATGACCAAATATATTACGTTTGATATGATCCACAGGAATTTCATTGGAACGAAGAGCGCGTTCTTACCGACGATTTCATTTATGTTGTACTGTATTTGGATGTCATAGATAATGTATTCGGCAATGATGTAAAGTAACAGGGTCAGGGAAATGTAACATTTTCGGAATATGAGCCCAGAACTATTGGCCTTTAAACCGAGAGGAATTACTCCAATCCACTTGCTGTATTTTATTAACATCTTCAGAGCCCTAATGTCGTTTTGTGGATCGACAAAGAAATTATTTCTTTTAGGTTCGAATTCGAGCGGCATTTCTTCAAAGCTGCATTTTCCATTTCAAGTATACTCTAAGTGTTTACCGATGCTATTACCTGTAATGACCGTTGCATTAACGATTCCATTACATGATTTCATAATAGTTTTATAAATGTACTGGGTGGTTTGCTTTCATTTTATATTTTAAGTGCAATGGCAGCCCTGTGTATAGCGGAAAAAACGTACTGTAGGTTTATGAAAAATTATATTTAGAGAGAATTTACAATCGTAACATTAAATATTATATAACAAATAGTTTCATAGATTTAAATCAGTCTATATATTCACATGGCGGCAAACGCCTCCTAAGGCAACATTATGATGACTTAAACTACCTTAAAAGGATGATTGCAATAACAGAAACAATAACATATAACAAAACTGTCTTCATTCTTGAAGCGTTGTTGCAGTCTGTACACTTATCACAGTGGTCGCCTTCGCACGTTGTGGGTTCCGGCAAATAATCCCCACATCTAGGGAAATTTGGAGGAACCGGCAACATGTCGTCGTCTTCCCCCACCTTTAGCACCAAGGCCATGCCGATTTCCGTGTGGAATTCTATGTGGCAGTGGAAAATCCAGTATCCTGAAAAAAGGAGAAAATAATGAAATCGCTCTCTTTCAGCACCTACATATACGAAACGTTTTTTATGTTAATCATACTGGTATTTGGAATTTCTGCCCTTAATGCCACCAATAAATAATTCCGGACATAAATTTAAGAAAAGTTTCCTTTATACCAGAATTAATATCGAATTGAATAATGTTCATTGCGAATTACTTCTTACTTTAAAGCGGTCTCAGATGAACGTGGAAGTTTTCGAACTTAATCTGGCAATAAGTTTTGTCTTATTAAGGCGTTTTTAAGGAAGATTTATTGGACGGACAGCCAAGGAACTGGAAAACGCTTAGGTCGTGCAAATTTTAATTTACTTTAACTTTTATGAAATCGGTCCACACTAACATCGTAGAGAATTCTTCCCGCGGATTTGAAATAGTCCAGCTTCCACGATTTTAATAGAAATAAATCAAAAAGCCATTGTTTAGTACGTTTATCAACTGCTACACTAAAAATGAAATTTAAAACATTGCTATCAACTGTTGTACAGCTGTGGACAAAAAAAGTATTCATCCTAAACAACTTATGGGCTTTTATAAACACGATCTAAACCATTTTCGCACTTTACACTCCTTTAAATGTTTTAAATAGGTATACCTTTTTTGTCCACAGCTGTACTAGATGCGGGCCTGTTGCGCCAAGAGCATTTTACGGATTTAATTGATTCTTGCGCCAATAGTTCCTTAACATTATGGACTGTATGATAGGGTCAATTTTTGATAAAAAGTTTGCACCTAAATTTAAAATTTTTCTGTTTATTTAACACAGTTACGATAAAATTCGTACCATCGATTATTTTCGTGCGACAACTGATCGATACCGACGCTCCTTTTAGATTCCGTTCCCCCTTTTATAGAATACATTAACAAAATTACTCATAGTCGGTCATGAATTGCTGTTTTAATTAGTTTCTTGCCGGGATGGACTTTTTTGTCGGGCAATTTCGTTACGGAGGACGAGGGCGTAATTAGCGCAGATATGTGGACCCTTTCTGATTTATATTATAGAGTCAGATGGGAGGATTCCATACTCGTACTGTCGTACTGGTCCAATTTAGATAAAACGGAACGACGACGTGTGGTCGTAAAGGAAAGAAAAAGTTGCACGTAAAGCAGATGATTCGGCTGGAAAGTCGCGTGTGTAATGGTTATTAGATGTACATACTACTACTGTTTCCTAAATAGATCAAAATTAAATATAGTGAAACGTACACTGTAAAAATATTTCACTCAAATTTCACTCAATTTTACTCAATGTGAGTGAAATGGGAAATGACCATTTCGCGACTTTTTGTTTCGGCAAGCTGAATTTATCACTATAGATGCTAAATATTATGTACAATAACATATTAGTTTCCACAGTCATAAAAATGGTGGGAAGATTGTTTACAGGCTGGTTAATTGTATAATTTTTACGTAAATTCACGTTTTCCGCGTATAACTTTTTTCCGTTCATTTCCACGAGAAAACAGTAATGTACTTTTTTTTCGTCTTCAAAAGACCTACAAAACTAGCCCTCGAGCGTCAAGAAATATTGATTAGATCAAAAGTTATAAAACAGAAGAAGTTTATTTGTAACTTTTGAATTAAACATTTATAAACTGCGCTATCATTACCAGAACGTTTTGGCATCGCATCCTCTCATTCCTTATCACTGTCTAATAACTCACACGAAATTTGGAATCGGTAAGTTGAATAGTTTATAAGTTATGGCCTTATAAACAAATTAACTAATTATTAGTCTGGACGATCCCGAGCATCTTCCACAATCGCACTGATTTTTTTCATGGTAGATTTCATAATATTACATTGAAATCTATCATTTTTTTTTTAATTTCAAATTGGCAACCTGGATTTTTTTTTATTTTTTAGCGTTAATTGCAAAATGAAATATACGACGCACGAGCGTGATATAGTTATATATTATTATATATTCGGAAAGCTTATGAAGAGCTTTAAATTAAAAAAAAATCGTCAAGATTCGTTGAAAAACAACGGAGTTGCAGCCTGTCAAATATATTATTTTCAAGCGAATTTCGTTTATTTAACGGCAGGACAATGAATATTACCGTCATTTTCTTCAGACCCGCTGTCGCTCGCTTCCCCCACCCTTCCGCCGCGCCACGGCTCGCCGAAAATCAAGCGACCCCACTGACTTTTGACTTATATTTCTTATGCACTTAATATACTTCCACAAATAAAATATATTTATCTGAGAAAGTACTCGGGTTGCCGGTTATGACAGTATTTTTTTGCCGCTACCAACTTAATTTTTTTAACAATAAGCCGTCAACTTTGACAGTCTGTAACTCCGTTGTTTTTCAACGAATAACTTGTTAACTATTCAACTTACCGATTCCACATTTCCTGTGAGTTATTAGACAGTGATAAGGAATGAGAGGATGCGATGCCAAAACGTTCTGGTAATAATAATGCAGTTTATAAATGTTTAATTCAAAAGTCATAAATAAACTTCTTCTGTTTATAACTTTTGATCTAATCAATATTTTGTGACGCTCGAGGGCTATAGTCTGTTTAGAAATGAAAGAGAGAAATAAAAGCTTATTATGTATGCAAATCGTAAATAAATGTAGTACTGGTGCTTATATTCAATATTTTTATATTATGTATCTTCCGTATAGATGAGGTGTACTTTTAAAAAAACTTTGTGTGATCTGTACTAAATTGTAGCAGGTAGCTAAAATTTAATCCCCGACAATCCATCTTTGCCTATGCCGCTTCAATTTCTCGGTCCATTTCTCTTATAAGTAAACAATATAAAAACAGCATTTCAAAACATGAGGCTACTTTAAGCATCATAACCGGGTTAAGAGGGTTTTTAGTAATTCAAATAAAATTATTCAATATTATTATCAAAATATTTATTTAAATTTAATGAATAGACTTTTATTCCACACAAAAATATATGTATTTTGAAAATTCAAATTATGGTGAGTAAATGTAGTGTTGTATAAATGTACAATAATGAAAATATAAAAGTAGGTATATTAAAATTCATCCTCTGAATATTCTGATGAATTATCTTCGTCTCCTAGATTGATAACGATAGGTTCCACAGTAACGTCAATTAAATTATCGAGTTCCCACATTTTCTCCTCTTCTTTTTGTACATGATGTATACATCTTTGCCAGTTATCTGCAGTTACTCGTTCCAAGGAATTTTTTAACAAAATTTTCACGTCACTTAATTTAAACGTCGTATTATTTCGCGCTACATCTCCTTTTACCTGCGCCCAGACTAATTCGATTGGGTTAAGTTCACAGTGATAAGGTGGTAACCGTAGTACCGT